TATCTGTACCGTCAGATGTAGACATAGTAATCGTTATTAGGGGTTCCCTGAGACCAGAACGTTATTTCAAGGACTCCTCCATGTTGAAAAGGTTGAGTGCAGCTGCTGTAGAGGATGAAGGTCTCCTTCAAAGGTGTATCTCAGGTGCTAGGTGACAGAAGGGAGTTCATGGGACATGTAGTCATCCGAAGATACAAGCCTCCATCTCCGTAATGATTTGGGGGAAATGTATCTTGACATTAAGTTCTGGTCTAATGCAGGTTACAGGTGTCGTGGTTTTAGTTGGTGAGAGACTTCTAAAAAGTTCCTTTAATGAAGACATGCCAGATGTTTTGGTTACTATAAAATGCAGACAACTTCAAGGAGCGCGTCACCCTGACGAATAGATGTGTCCTTTTGCTGCATTACATTAGAGTGACTAACCTGTATTTATTTATCCTATTTTGGGATCTGCCGTGACATATACCTTCTGTATGTATAGAATAGAAGCAAGTATGCTTCATAGCTTCACTGATGTTCATTGGTCCATATCGAGTTCTCTCGTTGATGACCTCTGCTTTCCCTTGCTTCGCGGGTGTGCAGTTGTCACTTTTTATAATAGATTGTTTATTAGAACTAAACACGATACCTCTTTATTTCACCGTATTTCTTTGCTTCCTAGGAGCAGCTGTACCAGGAGTCCAAGGAGGCGTCATTAACAACACCCGACCGCAAACAACCGCTCAGCCAGATGGAGTTCAGTCTGCTGGATCAGAGACCGGAGGACCGCTCAGTCAGGCCAAAGCTGGGGTCTTAGGCAATATTGTAACTGCTTTGCCCAACCACAGCTCAGGTAATGGCAAACCTGCAGCCCTTCAGACCATGAATGGAAATAATGTTGTTATAAATTCTCATGGACCTGGGGGACATGGAGCTCCGTTTCAGGGGAACAGTAACCCCACACCAGGTGTTAACCTTGTCAACAATGGCCCTGCTCCTGTCACCAAGGGTGGTGTGAACGCAGCTGCCAATACAGTGATCCAGACTTCTTATCTTGCAACAACCAATGTGTCAGCCTCTGTCATCTCCTCATCTGCTTCGACCGCAGGGGCAGCTGGACAGCCCGCAGGCCTGGCAGGTGTACCCACTACTGTAGCGCTGGTGAGACCTCTTGTGCATCAGGGAGTGCCAGCCACTCAGAACGGAAGCAATACTGTGATCAATTCCCCTTTGCCAGCTCCTGGTGGGGTACCTTTGCAAATGAACAGCCAGCCCAGCCCGGCGCCTAGCCAGGTGATCAAATCTGAGTCCCCTAAAACTATTATTCAGACTCCTCAGCAGAGCCAGCCTGCCCCTGGGAATATGGTTATTGGACAGACTATGCAAGCAGGACATCCTGGCCCTGGAGGGGCTGCTCCTGCTCCTGGCACCCCAACAGCAATGGGCAAACCTACAGTCAGCACTGTGCCTCTAAGCTTGCCAAGGACTCCTACAGCACCGATTGGTGGCATCAGGGCGACCATAACACCACCTATGTTAGCGCCGCGGGTGCCACAGCCTCCACAGAACCCACCAAACATCCAAAACTTTCAGCTTCCTCCAGGTAAGAAACTACACTGTCTTTGGGTCAATGTGTCATTGAAGGTTCTTGTTGATACAGATCATGGTATGTGTCTGTGAAGGTTCTCTTTGATCCAGGGGGTATGAGTCTGAAGGATTTCATTGATCCAGGTCTGGGTATGTGTCTGTTTGAAGGTACTCATTGATCCAGGTCTGGGAATGTGTCTGAAGAGGTTCAGTGATCCAGGCCATGGTGTGTGTCTATGAAGGTTCCCATTTATCCAGGTCATGGTATGTCTCTGTGATGGTTCTCCTTGATCCAGGCCATGGTATGTGTCTCTGTCATGGTTCTTCTTGATCCCAGGCTATGGTGTATGTTTCTGTGATGGTTCTTCTTGATCCCAGGGTATGGTTTATATTTCTGTGATGGTTTTTCTTGATCCCAGGCTATGGTTTATGTCTCTGTGATGGTTCTCCTTGGTCCAGTGTGTTATGGTTCTCCTTCATCCAGTGTCCTGTGATGTGTCTGTGATGGTTCTCCTTTATCCAGTTCATGGTATGTGTCTGTGAAGGTTCTCCTTGATCCTGGCCATGATGTGTGTCTGTGAAAGTTCTCCTTGATCCCGGCCATGATGTGTGTCTGTGAAGTTCTCCTTGATCCAGGCCCATGATGGCCATGATGTGTGTGTCTGTGAAGGTTCTCCTTCATCCAGGCCATGATGTGTGTCTGTGAAGGTTCTCCTTCATCCAGGCCCATGATGTGTGTCTGTGAAGGTTCTCCTTCATCCAGGCCCATGATGTGTGTGTCTGTGAAGGTTCTCCTTCATCCAGGCCCATGATGTGTGTCTGTGAAGGTTCTCCTTCATCCAGGCCCATGATGGTGTGTCTGTGAAGGTTCTCTCCTTCATCCAGGCCCATGATGGTGTGTCTGTGAAGGTTCTCCTTCATCCAGGCCCATGATGGTGTGTCTGTGAAGGTTCTCCTTCATCCAGGCCCATGATGGTGTGTCTGTGAAGGTTCTCCTTCATCCAGGCCCATGATGGTGTGTCTGTGAAGGTTCTCCTTCATCCAGGCCCATGATGGTGTGTCTGTGAAGGTTCTCCTTCATCCAGGCCCATGATGGTGTGTCTGTCATCCAGAAGGTTCTCTCCTTCATCCAGGCCCATGATGGTGTGTCTGTGAAGGTTCTCTCCTTCATCCATGATGGTGTGTCTGTGAAGGTTCTCCTTCATCCAGGCCCATGATGGTGTGTCTGTGAAGGTTCTCCTTCATCCAGGCCCATGATGGTGTGTCTGTGAAGGTTCTCCTTCATCCAGGCCCATGATGGTGTGTCTGTGAAGGTTCTCCTTCATCCAGGCCCATGATGGTGTGTCTGTGAAGGTTCTCCTTCATCCAGGCCCATGATGGTGTGTCTGTGAAGGTTCTCCTTCATCCAGGCCCATGATGTGTCTGTGAAGGTTCTCCTTCATCCAGGTGTGTCTGTGAAGGTTCTCCTTCATCCAGGCCCATGATGGTGTGTCTGTGAAGGTTCTCCTTCATCCAGGCCCATGATGGTGTGTCTGTGAAGGTTCTCCTTCATCCAGGCCCATGATGGTGTGTCTGTGAAGGTTCTCCTTCATCCAGGCCCATGATGGTGTGTCTGTGAAGGTTCTCCTTCATCCAGGTCATAGTATATCTAGTTATAGTTGGTGGCATTCAGCTGAACTTGTTCTGTAGTGTTGAAGATGTTTCAAGATGTTATCCAAGCAGCTTCTTCAGTTCTAAAAAGTGTTGGTACGATACCCCAGAATATTTTTATATGGGTAGCACAGGCACCTTAATCCAATCCGCATGGAATATATATATGTCTGTTGTCCAAGAATAGGAAGGTCCTGTTGTGGACCGTACAATCTGCTGTACCATGGTGATTGGATTAAGTTGGGTATCTTCCTGACCCTCATTAGGAATGAAGAAGTGACTTGGAGAAGCTACCAAACCTCTTCAACATCACAAGAGAAGTCCAGATAAATGTGCCGATCTACCAGTCGCTGTGTTTTGGATCAGGTTGATGAACTGAGAGAAGCATGCTGTGTGTACACCTCCCCTCTGAGCTATGTTTATACTACATGTGACTTTGTTCCTGCAACCAATCATTGTCTCCCTGGTTTGAAAGCTACTGGCTGCTCCGTAGCTTTGTATGATGGTCACATGGGGCAGCATTTTGACAGCTTCGAAAGAGTGAGACTGGGAGCATTGTGTAATCTGTTCGTCCTGTGCAAATAATGTGGTGTGAAGAGTTCCCATCCGAGTCACCTAGAGTGCCCTCAGCCCACCTTGTCCCTGTGTGCCTTCTTGCTCGTTGAGTATACACAGGATCCCGTGGCAGTATAACTCAGATTTCACGCTTCAAGGCTTGCACTCGGTTTTATTGATCTTTTACGTTTGTCTGATTTAACCCGTTCATGTCACTGCAACTTAAAACTAGTTTTCTCAAACTCACTTTTGCAAAGTCAGAAAGCTGGCTGATCTTGAGAAGAAAAGCGAATATGGAAGCTTCGGATTTTAATCGTCGCTCTTTATTTTCATTTGAAACGCTAGATTTTTTAGCTTGAATGCTTCTACTATTTTTATTTTTGGTTGTTTAGTTGTCATCAGTTGTCTTTTGATGATACAAATGACACCCGAATCTGTTGCTTTGCGTGCTATTACTTTGGTATGCAGTTTTAGATGTTCTTATTATTTATTTTTTCCGATTCTTTGAATAATTTTAGAATTTTGTCCCGTGGTTGAATGAAATCCCGGCTATTTAATGTCCCTGCCAGTTTGTGAAGTCCGTCAGCTGGTGTCACTAGAGGTTTGTTGAGCAGTTCGTTCCTCCATAGGAACGACGATGCATGTTTTCCGAGGTATCGGCCGTGTTGTCCTCATAGCCAGGATCTCTGGGGTGCTCCGGGTTTATGGGTTTTGTGTTTGTATTGGATGGTTAAAGTGTCCCTAAATACCGCACGGCAAAATACAATCTCAGTGCAGCATATACAGTACTACATCGCTGTCCGTTATTCAAATCTCGTATTTCCCCCTCTTTGCTCACACTTCTAAGGAGGCTTTTTTGCTTTCACTTCTGTTTTTGTCGGTATGAGCCGGGCGTGTAATATATGACAGTCACGTGTTCTGCTCTCCCCAGGGACGGACTGACCATTTGGAAACTCTGGGGCCCGGGGTTGTAGGGGGCCCCATGAGATGCCCCTGGTACCTTTTTCATAGGCTTTTTTGAGTTTGAGCAAGGACACAGGGGCCCCATGATCTCCTATTGCCCGGGGGCTCCATGAGTTGTCAGTCCCACCTATCTGATCCTACTGTGCATGGATCCCCTTTTCCATAGTTCAGGCTGGTACCTCCAACATCTGTCGCAGAGTCCATCTCTGGAGGGTGACTACATTCCCACATACAGTGGAACCATGTAGAGCAAACGTAGCCACCATCAGGGGCGGACTGACCATTTGGAAACTCGGGCAGTGCCCGAGGGCCCGGGGTCAGTAGGGGGCCCCATGAGATGCCCCTAGTACCTTTTTCATAGGCTTTTTTGAGTTTGGGCAAGGACACAGGGGCCCCATGATCCTCTATTGCCCCAGGGGCCCTATGAGTTGTCAGTCCCACCTATCTGATCCTACTGTGCATGGATCCCCTTTTCCATAGTTCAGGCTGGTACCTCCAACATCTGTCGCAGAGTCCATCTCTGGAGGGTGACTACATTCCCACATACAGTGGAACCATGTAGAGCAAACGTAGCCACCATCAGGGGCGGACTGACCATTTGGAAACTCGGGCACTGCCCGAGGGCCCGGGGTCAGTAGGGGGCCCCCATGAGATGCCCCTGGTACCTTTTTCATAGGCTTTTTTGAGTTTAGGCAAGGACACAGGGCCCCATGATCCCCTATTGCCCGGGGGCCCCATGAGTTGTCAGTCTGCCCCTGGCCACCATCATTATGTCCCGTTCACACTTGCTAATGGGGCCGTGTGCAGTTATATGAAGGTTCCCAGCAATCAGCCCTCCTCCCGAATCCCCGTTCAAATCAATAAAGCCCCATACACACAATGAGAATATCAGACGAACGATCGCCCGTTTTTTTTTTTTCGCTTGCTAGTCTCGCATCAAAAGTGAAAAGGTTACTAAAGATACGAAAATACTTGTATGAAAAAAGAATTTCGAAAGTGATGTCATATACTTGTATTGTAGTTTTGGACGACTACTGTACTGATCAAACGAAAATAGTATGAGAATTTTTGCGCTTGTCCCTTCGGATATTGCTGCATGAATTGTCGTGATCGGCTCTCGAAAGATGTGTACTAACGATCCGATTATCAGACGATCGCTCCTCGCTGTGTACTAACGATCCGATTATCAGACGATCGGTCCTGGCTGTGTACTAACGATCCGATTATCGGACGATCGCTCCTCGCTGTGTACTAACGATCCGATTATCGGACGATCGCTCCTCGCTGTGTACTAACGATCCGATTATCAGACGATCACTCCTCGCTGTGTACTAACGATCCGATATCGGACGATCGGTCCTGGCTGTGTACTAACGATCTGATATCGGACGATCGCTCCTCGCCGTGTACGAACGATCCGATTATCGGACGATCGGTCCTGGCTGTGTACTAACGATCCGATTATCGGACGATCGCTCCTCGCTGTGTACTAACGATCCGATTATCGGACGATCGCTCCTCGCTGTGTACTAACGATCCGATTATCAGACGATCGCTCCTCGCTGTGTACTAACGATCCGATTATCAGACGATCGGTCCTGGCTGTGTACTAACGATCCGATTATCGGACGATCGCTCCTCGCTGTGTACTAACGATCCGATTATCAGACGATCACTCCTCGCTGTGTACTAACGATCCGATATCGGACGATCGGTCCTGGCTGTGTACTAACGATCTGATATCGGACGATCGCTCCTCGCCGTGTACGAACGATCCGATTATCGGACGATCGGTCCTGGCTGTGTACTAACGATCCGATTATCGGACGATCGCTCCTCGCTGTGTACTAACGATCCGATTATCAGACGATCGCTCCTCGCTGTGTACTAACGATCCGATTATCGGACGATCGCTCCTCGCTGTGTACTAACGATCCGATTATCGGACGATCGCTCCTCGCTGTGTACTAACGATCCGATTATCGGACGATCGCTCCTCGCTGTGTACTAACGATCCGATTATCGGACGATCGCTCCTCGCTGTGTACTAACGATCCGATTATCGGACGATCGGTCCTCGCTGTGTACTAACGATCCGATTATCGGACGATCGGTCCTCGCTGTGTACTAACGATCCGATTATCGGACGATCGCTCCTCGCTGTGTACGAACGATCCGATTATCGGACGATCGGTCCTCGCTGTGTACTAACGATCCGATTATCGGACGATCGCTCCTCGCTGTGTACTAACGATCCGATTATCGGACGATCGCTCCTCGCTGTGTACTAACGATCCGATTATCGGACGATCGCTCCTCGCCGTGTACTAACGATCCGATTATCGGACGATCGCTCCTCGCCGTGTACTAACGATCCGATTATCGGACGATCGCTCCTCGCTGTGTACTAACGATCCGATTATCGGACGATCGCTCCTCGCTGTGTACTAACGATCCGATTATCGGACGATCGCTCCTCGCTTTTTTTTTTTTTTTTTTGCATCAAAAAACGCATGGACAGTAGATTATATGGGTTCCAATGACATAGTTCACACCTGTGTAGTCAGTTCTAGTGCAGAGGAAAAAAAAAATAGAACATGCAGCATTTTTTCTGCACAGAACTGTACTGGAACTTGGAAAAACGCATCAAAAAAACGCACCAAACACATTACAGCAAAAAAAAAAAAAAAAAAATCCACAAAAAAAAAAAACCTAAGGTAACCTTGGAGGGAAAAAAAGAAAAAAACTGGGGGGGGGGGGGGGGGGGGGGAAACACACTGGAATGCATCAAACACATCAAAAGTACCCGATTTTGTGCTGTGACCCGGCCCTAACTCCTTTATGACGATGTTGCACCCGTTCATCAGCACGGTAAATGGGCCTTAGCACCCAGCCGCTGCGTATGTGCGTCGCTGTGTTCTGGGGTGCACTCCGTCTGCACCCCCAAAACTGGGTCACCAGCAACTACCGACAGTCAGGAACCCGTCCTACCCGGCTATGTCATTGCTACACAGGCAATCCCAGTGAATGGGAGACCCTACGACCAGATCCACAACTCCCTTAAAGGGCCAGCCCCCAGACGTGGCACAGGGGTTAAACAAAAAGAAGGACCGAAGCTGATTTGGCCCTTCTGTCAGGACGCATGCAGCCTTGGACCGATGCTGTATCCTCCTAGATGAGTAAAAATGTGTTTTTTTTTTTTTTCATTCTTTTTTTTAGGCCCCTTTCACACGGGGTGGACCCATCAGCGGATCTGCTTGTTCTGCGGGGGGATCTATCTGTTCTGGATGTGAAGTGGATGACAGGTCTGTGTCCGCTCCGCTTATGCAGAGCAGACACAGGCACAGCCCGCTGTCCTCTATGGGCAGTCAGATGGAAATGGCCTGTGCCATCCAATCCAATTTGATGGACGGTAGAGGAACAGATCCACCTTTTTGGCAGATCGGATTGGATGTCGGCGGGTATAAACGCACACATGTCTATTTTACACCTGCCGCTCAATAGAGGAGAATAGCAGTTCCGATTGGGTCAGCCTAAAAACTGGGCAGATGGACCCGATCTGAACGTCTGTGTGAAAGGGGCCGTAAGTGATAAATTCACCTTTTGGAACATGTTACATGTTCCACCCATTTTTAGGGTGGAACATATAACGTTCCCTTATTTGCAGCCCCCCCCCCCCCCCCCCCCCACTCCCACTGACAGATGATATGGGGGAACTTCTCCCCATACTATCTGTCAGATTTGAAAACAGCGTGGCCATGCCGGGCTTCGCCCACTCAGCCCTGTCACTAATACACAGAGTTCTGCGAATGAGTGGATACAAGTCCCAGCAGCCTTAGCGACTGTCGGCTTGTAGTTCTCAATGAACACCCCGGTGCTGTGGAGTGCCATGGTACTTCATTGAAGCTTCCTGTCAGTATATCTGCTTGACCGTACTTCCTGTACATCCCCGTACTTCCTGTACATCCCCGTACTTCCCGTACACCCCCATACTTCCCGTACATCCCCGCACTTCCCGTACATCCCCGCACTTCCCGTACATCCCCGCACTTCCCGTACATCCCCGCACTTCCCGTACATCCCCGCACTTCCCGTACATCCCCGCTCTTCCCGTACATCCCCGCACTTCCCGTACATCCCCGCTCTTCCCGTACATCCCCGCTCTTCCCGTACATCCCCATTCTTCCCGTACATCCCCATTCTTCCCGCACATCCCCATTCTTCCCGTACATTCCCATTCTTCCCGTACACCCCATAAATCCCATACTTCCCGTACATTCCCATACACCCTGTACATCCCCATACTTCCCATACGTATTTCCCGTACATCCCCATACTTCCCGTACATCCCGTCCATCCCCATATTTCCCGTACACCCTGTACATCCCGTACACCCCATACATCCCATACTTCCCGTACGTCCCTACTTCCTGTACATCCCATACTTCCCATACATCCCGTACATCCCCATACTTCCCGTCCATCCCGTCCATCCCCATACTTCCCGTACACCTGTACATCCCATACTTCCTGTACATCACATACTTCCCCCCCATACTTCTTATACATCCTGTACATTCCCATACTTCCCGTACATTCCCATACATCCCGTACATTCCCATACATCCTGTACATCCCATACATCCTGTACATCCCATACTTCCCATACATTCCCATACTTCCCGTACATTTCATATGGCAAGCAGATATTCTGACAGGTCTGCAGGAGACCTGCATGGCGTCAGCAATCTACTAATCGCTGGGGAATGCTTTCCAGGCTCCTGCAACCAAAAATAATAAATGCCCAATTTTTTACCTGCAAAAAAATGTGCATTTATTTTTTTGTCAAAAAGGTGACCTTATCCTTTAAAGTTCTATTTCTTTGTTTTCCATTAACTGATATCTTCTCCTTCTCCTGTCTTTGAACTCTCTATAGTTGTCTCTTGTGTTGCCAGGTGAAGGCAAAGTGTGTTTTTTGTTTTTTTTTTTTTTGTTTTTTTTTCTACTGCAGCCAGATCTAGCTGACTTGCTAATAGAACGTGTTTTGAAAGTGATAGCTGCAGTCTGATTGGCTGCTGTGGTCACATGCCTTCCTTCACTCTTTCAAAAAACTGTCTGTGGTAACAGTCTGCTGCGCGTTCCTCTTTGTTGGTGTGTAGATCAGTGAAGCTCAGCTGAAACACGATTATTTTCCTAACTCGCCTTCATCTTACAGGATGGGTTTAGGACAAAGCTCTCTCCGTGATGAGAAATCGTTGTGCATGTTCAGCCAGGGTCACAGCACAAAACGTTTTTTATGGTGTCACCCAGGAACTGGTCTCCTCAAACTTTTACACATAGAGGAACCCTTGAAATAACTTTCAGCTGTCCAGGAATCGCAGCTAACAGTTGTATCCACATCTCATGGTACTTTTCGGGTCGGGTCAAACTGATGCGGTGCGAGAAATGCACAGGAATCGATGCGAATCCCGCACCCCATCAGTGTGAACGTCCCTTACTGTGGACAGTAGCTTGCAGATGTAGGAATAAAGGAGTTTTGACACCCAGGGCTGCTCTATATGACAAGATTTTCAGTAATAATAATGGTGAGAAAAGAAAACCAGACAGTGAAAAATGTAGTGTTCCCTCACATTGCTGGTCAGAGGAAAGTACCCCCCGCAACTGGTTATCAGTGCGAAGAATGATCCCTACATTGGTGGTCCAGAGGAAAGTACCCCCGCAACTGGTCATCAGTGCGA